TTGCAACCAAGAACATCTGAAATAAACATTTACAATGAAAAGGCTTAAAACTATCGTTCTTTCTAGTTTTTCCCTTTTTTCAGGACATTTTTAGCACACTTGAGACAAAGCTTGGACAGCTGTATCATTGTGTCATCCAATCGGCTAATAATCGGAGAAAAATTAAGTTTTTTTTTTAATCAAATTTGTGTACCATGTTTTGTAAGAAGTTGTATTCCCTGGCGTACCGAAGTTGGCCGCATTTTTGTGGCTTTATTTCAATATTAAGTTAAACGATTACAAAATGACTGCTTTATCCATTTTGTTTTGGTTTATATCAACATAAATTTAAGCTAAGTGCTTTTATTTGTTTTCTCTGAGGCGTTGAGCAAGAAAACTGCATAAACGAGTTAAATGAAAAAGGCAAATACAATTTTCCACCAGCTGCGCTTGGGGAATGTATAAAATTTAGGATTATTTTCAAGCAAGCCACACTTAAAAGTGCAAACCAATTTAAATAATGACAGACATTAAAGAAAAGAGCCGATGGCATATTGAGCGTCATTTCCACAGAGTCATAAAAAAACATCAAGATGACAAAGCCTTGTTATGCTTTGGCAGGTCATATTGTGCATACATAAATATATATATTTATATAAAGCGCAATGCCATAATCCAAAACAAAATGGCGCTGCAAGGCTTTTTTTTTTTTAATTAAATCCTTTTATATTCCGCAGCCATTAAAAATGCGTAAAGAAGTTCAGGAAGCGGCAATGCCCTACAAAGTGTACAAGTTCTTGATCAGCTCATGTCCGACTCTCTTCATGAAAGTCTCGAGCTCAGAGAAAATGGGATCCATTAAATTGGGCATATTCAGAAATACATTTTGAGTACATTTTTGAATGTGTGCCGCGCCTATGAGAAACTAATTACGGGGTATTGCCTAGTCGCATTGCCTCAACTTGTGCATTCTTAGTTGCTTTTAGCTGTGCCCCAGGACGAGGCGAACCAAATACAAATGCAAAAACTATAACAAATTAATCAATTTCGCATTGATAAACTAGCAAACGGCTCCAACCAACTGAACAATACTCTGCTCACAAAGTGAACTCCTCAGTTATTGGATCGCTGACTATTAAACTGTAAATATAGCTGCATCTAGTCTATATGGGATCTTTGAAGTAGGCTGTGAAGTGGCTGCAAATAATGTTTTGGATATAACTTGAGAAGAAGAAGGCTTGGTAAAAACTATAGCAGTGTTTCGCTTGAAGTATATTTCAATTTACAAATATCTTGCTGCAGCGAAACATTGCAGTAGACCAAATACTCCTAGATAGCATCAAGAAATTTACTTTTGTACAGTTTGGGGTGGCTGGAATTGGAAAATTGTTTGTGGGTGTTGCTTGTTTATCCGCTTTGAAAAATAATTGTGATGTTAAGTTGCGTTGACGTTGAGTGACGCCGAAGCGCTTTAATTTATGATTAAATAAGAGAATTAAATGGGGTTTGGTTGCGCGTTTTCCGAGCGGGGGCCCATACCTAACTCATCGCTCACTATTCGTCTTTTCTAGATTTCGGCATAAAATTAATTAAAACTGCCCGCGCTTATGATGATGATATTCAGTTCATTATACACTTCTATTTAGTTCAGTCGATTCACAATAATGTAAATGATTGTATCTTTAAAGCAGTAGCAAAAATAAGTAAAAGTCTTGATGAGGGATTTCGAAGGGTCAACGAGCTGTTACTTAGATTTTCATAAATCTATTATACAGGGTATTAGAAATAAAACGAAAATAATAAAACCCTTCCCCAAAAATAAAAGATGTGAAAATCCAGCCATCATCCATTTGCAGCGTCATCTTGCCGCCTTCCTAATATCATGCTGGTGTTCAGTCTATCGTTTAATTATTCATGTGCTTATTTAACGACATGGATTGCTGAGTGAGGACGCAAAATTATGTTTTATTCTAATTTTAAAAATATGCAATCTATTTAACGCGCTGTTAAATTTTCTTAGTTGTCAAAAACAATTGCTTAAATTTGGGCAGTCTCCTTCTGCTCTCCTAACAAGGTTCTGTTAAACTTGAAGGCTAAACATAAGTGCATATGTAAATGAAGCTATGTTAATGCTCTCGCCTAACATTATTTGCCTATGCAAACGGTAACAGAAACTTTCGCCCCTTCTGTTATGCATTTAGACCTGATTCCTGCAAACTTTGGCAAGTTGATATTTTATTTAATTGAATATTTAAATTATTATAACTTGAACTTAAATTCCCATTGATATTCGTACTTATTCCTTGCGTACAATGAAATTTTTTTTATAGTATCTATTGCCCGATAATCAGCAAAGTTTGTTTGACGGATCTGTAAATGATTTATTGTATTTTATTACGAAATAATATATTTATTTTAATTGTTGCCCACTTGTTGTTGTATGCATAATGACAAAAAATACACATGTATTGTGCTTTTTGTTGTTGTTTAATTCTGCTCTTGCTCTTTGGAATGAAATTTCTTTATTTCGAGCGGCGGCTTATCAGTTTTATATTTCTCGGCTCTCTTTTTGGGCAGTGTAAATACGCAGCAAATTAATAAATTAAGATGGGCGCTGCGTGTATAATTAATTTTTCAATTATGAGGCCTTAACTTGTGTTTGTTTTGGCCGCCTAGAGGTAACGCGGCAGTTGTTGCCCCTTTTTTCATTCAAGATATTTTAATGCGACTTTTATCGGTGTTTTATCAAAAAGCCATTGCAGAACTGTTAACAGACAGCCCCAGCACGGAAGCGGTCGGCGAGGGCGGTAGGGAGCGACAGAAGAAGAACCAAATAAACAAACAGCAAACGAACAAGCAAACAATTCTTCCACTGGCATGGCGCGGGGCAAGGGGGTACATAACAACAACAACAGACAACTATAACTACTCGGCAGTGCTTGTACTTGGGATAGTTGACAGTTGACTTCTGGCCGTGTTTGCACATGCACTTTGCGTGTGCTTCTCTATGTGTGTGTTTGTGTGTGTGTGTGTGTGGACGTGCGTTTACAACTGTTACAAGAGTCGAGCAAACAAATGCGACAAACAAACTTACAAAGTGAGCAACACCAAAGGATTTGCGCTTTTGGCTTTTATAAAGTTAGCGAAGCGTGCAGCTCTCCAAAAGAGAATGCTTACAGACTGAGAAAATCATAAGATGAAGATACATTAGTTGTATGTTGTAATAGAGAGAGATGTATAAGGTATATAAACATATATATATTCCTGATCAGTGTCAACAGCTACGTTATTATAGCCATGCCTATTTGTTCTTCTTTTAATTGCAGTTAGCAACTATGTCTGAGTTGTTCGGATGTAGCTGTTATATATATCCAAAGATCGGTCAAAAAGATGTTATTTTACTTATACTTAGCTATCTTTGACATCTTATCCAAACATGGTACTTAAAAATTGTCCCGCAGATATAAGCGAAAATTTGGTATGTTATTCAAGGCAGATATTTTAAAAGAGTTTACTCTGTCAGCATTCGAAGATAGCTGTTTTTTCTTGTTTATGTAATTACATATAAACATAACATAATCGTCAATCAGTCAGAACACGCAATGCCCCCTCTTAGCATCTATGTTTCATATATCAATTTCATCAGTTACTTAACTAGACTTTCCCCACACATTTGCTATTGCATTGACAATTGCATATTTCTTGTCTGGTTTTACAGGACGCCATTGTCTGGGGCTTTGGCGATTTCAGCTCCAGCAGCTCCTCCCTTGGGCACCTTACATAAAATGCTTTACGCTGCGGCAAATAAACAGACAGACAAAGTGTATGAAGTGAATTTTTATCAGCTAGCAAATAGACAACAAATTCTTGGCAACGCCCCATTGACTATGCCCTCCATTCCCCTGCCCTACCTTTGGCTGGTTTAGAAACGTTAACCACTTTTCGGACAGCATTTTCTTGTTGCTTTTGTTTTGGTTGGGGGCATTTTTCTTTTATACATTTTGAAAATTGAAATTTTAATGCCGCGCATATGAATGAAATTGTTGTTGTTGTTGTTGTTGTTGTTGCTGTCGCTTGGCTATTAAAACAGTTGCCCGAGATAAACAAAATACAATAAAGCAAAAGCAAATGTAAATATGTATATTGCTAACGATAATATAAGGTAAGGTATCTAATGTTTAAATAGTCGCAAAATTTCTTATATCACTAAAAGTTTATACGTATATATACGTGTAGTTCTTAGAGCTTGTGCCACACATACCTGAGCGATTCGCTGATTTTTATTACCCTACAAATTGGTAGTTTGTTGCCTTAAAATGGACAGCCATAAGCAATAATAAGCACTGCACTCGGGTAATCTAAGCATTAGTTCAGTCATGACCAGGTATCTATACATACATTTTTTTCATTTAGCTATTAGCAAAGCCCAATTTGGCACATATTCTGGGCCATAATAAGTACTTATATTTAATATTTTGTGCATTTCCTACCAAATATGTGGGCCGGCTTAAGTGATTTGGGAATTTTCGCTAAAGCCAACTAATTTATTTAGTCGGCTGACTGCATTTGATGCGCCACATGGACGTGGCCCAAACAGCACAAAGGCAACAAATTTTTGATTGCCAAAAACCTCGCAAAGCCCACGAAAGTTCAGGCCACAATAGTTTTTAGTGCGGATTCTCTCCGGCTTGTTTTGTTTTGTTTTGTTTTGTTTCGACTGCAGCGGCGCAGCCTTGACAGCAATTTGACAGACATAAATAAACAAGAACCAAAATGGGCGAATAATTTAGTACCCTGTACGTGCCGGAAAACTGTGTACACCTTGGTACCAAAAGAAAATTGCAAGCTGCACTTTATTTTTGCCTAAAACTTGAAGATGTGCGACTTTACTTGGATAGAGTTTAGCTCTATCATTTAATTAGTCTCTCTTTAACAGTATTGAGTTCTGGATTAATTTTCCATAAATTTAAGTGAACTCTTCTCAGCATGCGTTGCCTTGGGCAAATGTATTTAACTTTATTGAAATTCAGTTGAATTAGTTTTCCATTTCGTATACTAAATTGGATATGCCTGCAGAGGTATTCAATTTCTTGCGTATCGAAAATTAAAACGTTGGCTTGTTAAATTGTGAGCCGCATACGAAAGAGATGGAATGTTGCTTTAAAGATTTATAAATGCAAAAGATATGTTTTCACAGGAAATGTTCTTATTGAATGCCTTAAAGCATATTCATAAAATCTACAATGAAATTCGACAAGATTTAATATCACATTTGGGCCAAAAGTTTTATAAATTGATTTAACAGTCTTAAATGTCTTAAAGCACTTGATTATATTTGAAATCAAATGCAGCGAGTTGTGATATACAATCGTGATTCATATTAAACAAACGGAGTTTAGTTGTTGTAGAAAGGGTATTAAAATGACGCCAACAAGCGCAGAGGAAATTGCCGCAACTAGAGCTACAAGTTTTGTGTGCCTAAAACTAGGCTATCAAGCCAAAAAGAATAAATAACAAAGGCAACAGCAGCAGCACCAACAACAATTGGCACACAAACTACTGAGCCAGCAGCGTTTACTGGCAAAAAAGAAAATGAAGACTGGCTGAGAGAATGTCGCGTTTATTAATGCCAGGGGAGCGCACTTGACTTTGGACATAATTGTGGTTAGTCGGCCAACTGGCTGTTGGCCAGCAACGCCTCTTGCTTGTTCCATTCGCAATGTAATTTACAACGGCCGAGAGCTAAATGTGATCTCCCAACATGACAGTAAATTAATAAACATGGCAAACTCATAGCTAACAACATTGTTTATAATCGTATCACTTGCAGGGCATCCTCGTTCGAGTTCCTGTTCCTGTTGCTGCTCTGGCTGGGCTGAGCTGCTTAGCGACACGTGGCCCATAAGTAGACGCCACATGATACACGGAAGGCAACAGCCTGGGATGTCTGCCCCGTCTGTCAGTGCCAACAGTCAGTTGATTGTGTGTATGGAGTCGTATTTCAATGCTTTGTGCTTCAATTGCGAAATGTTTAATGTTCGAATTGCTCTTGAATTGAATTAAATTGCGTGTGATTGGTGCGTAAATAATTCCATTAATTTATGCGGCATGTTGAAATACTTATGTACTGCTGCCCGGTAGCTATTAAAATTGTCAACGTATTTGTCTTTCAGCATTTCGACGATGCAGTTTGATTTGTGGTTTTCACATTCAGGCATTTAATCAACAGGTTTTTTGTGTGCTCAGCTGGTTGCCGTTGCCAGAGCAACCTTCGCATTGGCCTGCAGCCAAGTCCATTTCAGTCCATTTCCCTGGCCTTCGGCTAGCGTCTTATTGATTCAGTCATGGGAACAACAGCAGCTTGCTCTATACCTCTCGGTATTTATGTATTTATGCCCTCGGACACGGACTTATATAGTTGCTGAATATGGTTACCCTCAGCCATTTAACAAGACAGGTTTCTCAATGTCATGGCTGCTGGAAAATGTGATTGTGACCCTGTCATGAGTTATGGATAATTTGCCTATGGTCGTTGACTAGTGTCAGACAGTTTTGTCGTGTGCCTGTCATCTGCCAGATGAATACTTGTATTTCTTATACACATTCTGATGCCAGCGTTCCGAGCTGCTTGTTAAAAGAATTTGTTTTTTTCTGATTCTGATTTCACTTGGGCTGCACTTACTTAGTTTGTCAAACTTTTGAAATAATCAAAGGCATAGTTAGTGATATTTAATTAAGGCAACTGCCAATTAGAAGGCATCCAAAGAGAAATGACAATATTCAATGCTTTTTGATTAATTCACAAATATTTAATATTTCTTTTAAGATCTCTGTTTGTTGCTTGATCTTAATAACTTTTTAGACTTGGCTTTTCCACGAGCCCGTAAATGGTTTCGAAGCTCATCTGTTGAAAATTGACTTAAAACAGTTATACTTTTTTTTTTTTTTTTAATTATTTCATAAACCAGCTGTCAATTGGCAGCAATCAACAATATGACGCCCAAAACAACTTTCCAGCCAGCCGGGTTTAAGTGAGACTTTTCATACTCTGTGCACATAAGAAATGCTTAGCACAGAGGGCATATTAGTTGTATGCAAATGTATGTTCAGGGCAGAAGTTGGCATTTGCGAGACCACAAAGTATAAATATATATATCTATATTCCTAACCAGCTGTAAATTATGTAGATATATATATAGATATATATGGATTAAAGGACCTTTTAGCATATTGCAGAGATAATAAAAGAAGACATTAAATTTGATAAGCATTGGCCTCTTGGCACATCTACACTCACCTGCTCCACACACAAACTGACGCCTTGCTTTCTCATTTGGATGCCACGCATTAGCTCAAAGAAGAAATAGTATCGACAACTCAACACTGGGTAGCTCCTAGTCGGGCACTCTCCAGTACGGCACTCATACTTGCTTCCTGTCGCATTAGCTAGTTTCTTGCTTCAGACCGAAATACGTTTTCATTATGAATGAATCATGAATCTACCATTTAATCATGTCTGACTCATTATGGACCTCTCTCTTCCTATTTCGTACACTTTTGCCACTAGCTGCTTTTGGCGACCGCGTTCAAGGGCTCGCTGTCGGCTTGGCTAATCTTGAAGGTGTCCCAGTTTATGCGGCAACATGCCTGTGGCCCCACATAATGCGCCAAACGGGTAATTAACAACTGCAGTAGTCGCAGTTTTTTTCTTTCTCTCTTTTAGGCCCGATTACTAGTCATAGCCATTAGTCGCAACAGGACTTGCGTGTTAAATTATTGCTGGGCATTCATTTGATTATGACACACAGCCAAACACACACACACACACAAACACACACACACAAGCACATGTACATGCACACATTCTTTGACATACATGCACGTACACAATTAGCCAAAGGCGTGTCCTGACTGCCGCTGAAAGGCAGACTTGGCTTTTGTTTTTTTTCTTTTTTTGTGTTTAGTTTTTTTGTTGATTCTTTCTTTCGGTTTTCGCGCAGCGGCTGATGGAAAAGGTTTCTTAACAAGCCAGTTACCAAAAACAACAAAAAGAAACAAAAAACTGTCGAAGACACATGCAGCTATATATAGAGCTCTACTTCGACAGATTGTTCGCATATGAGCTATATTATAGTAAATATGATTATCAAATGTTGAAAAAGAAGCAGTTCTTAGACATTATTATCACAAGAGCTATTTGTGATATCAAATTCCAAAGTTACAAGATCCCATTAGGCCAACTCGGGGATGAGTAGCTTTAAGATATCGACTCGGCTTTTGATACTTATCAAGAATATATATATGTATATGTATATATATATATATATATGTAATATGCATGGAGAAATCTCCTTCTGTGCATTCAAGGCTATACAAAATGGGTGTCACGTCGCAAGCATTAGAAATCATTAGCAAAAATTGTCTGACAAAGGCCGACTCATCGTAAATTGATAATTATCTCATTATATTAACACGAATTGACCAATATGAAAAATAAAATGGTACATTTCAGCTATAAAATGCTGTTTGTCAACAAATATTTTAAAACATAAAACAAGTTCAGCTGCATTCCACAAATATTTTGGAAGTTTTACGCAACAGATTTTTAGCGCAGCTTAAAAATAGTCAAGGAATGGGCGCTTGGGCAGGAGAAGGGACTATTTTTGGATTTGGGGTCAAGAGCTGGACAAGCGCTGAATCTAAGCCAGACGACATTCGCAACGGCAGCCCCCGCGGCGCATTGTATTTAAAAATTGAATTTATTTTCGTTACTGTCGAGTTGCCGGGTTGTTCGCTGGTTTTGGGGCGCAACGAGGCTGCAGTAATGCGCATTGATTTTCCTTCGAGCCCATCCATCGATCCAGCAGGAAACTGTTTACCACTCAATAAGCCAATCATATCTCAATCCCAAACTCGAGCTCGAGCTCGATGGACGAGAAGGCGCCTCAATTTGACGCTAAAATACCTGCGAAAATTGTTGATTTGATTTGGGCGCGTTAAAACTTTTTAATTAATTGCTGCGAGCTTGTAACGTGTGGTTGCTGTGGTTCCTTGCAAGTATGTAGCTCTAGCCAGCGTGTCTACGGATGTGGATCCACCACCGAGTTCCGAGTTTGGTTATCATCCATTTCGTCTGGCCAAATGTCAAACGTGACCCGAAAGTTGTTTGCTCTTCCCTAGCTCGCACCGGACGTGACAGTAATAGGTCATGCTTGATTTTATTCGATTTTTGCTCTGGCTGGCCGAAAAGTTTGTTTTATTTGATTTTGATTTGATGTTTTTTATCGTAACAGTTTTGACACATAAATTTATCTACAAGTCAGTGTTAAAAATTGTTTACTTTTTATGGTTTTTAGGTTATTCAAACTTTGCTGCTTGCTAGCAAAATGGGCGAGTTCTTAAAATAACCAACTTCAATTTATATCTAAAATACTTACATTTAATCCATAGTATGTCAAGCGAGTTTCTACTTCAAATTCAAACGGATATTCATAATTGATTTACATTATTATATAGTACTATCAATATTGTTATATTTTTAATAAAAACATTCGATTATAATTTTATATTTGTTTGTGTACACTTTGCACCATCTTTTGTTTAGATCTTAATTTTATAGCGCGACACACAATAATTCTGTTATTTCCGATTTTTTATCGTGTCAAAATTTAACTTATCAATTTATTTTATTTGATTTTTAAACACACAATTTGCACGGCTAATTGGGAGCACAAGATAACGCACGTAATTCTGAAAAAGAATCCCGCCATGCACAATCCAAATTAAGGTAATTTAATTTTTAAATTCTTGGAAATTAATTAAATTTCAATTGATTAACACCTTGCAAGCCGCCGAAAGGCAAACTTCAAAAAGGCGCGCTCCGCTTGAGAAACGCACTTCAAAGTCGTTTGGCTTTTACTTTAGCAATGGGGAAACGCGTCGTTTACGCAACTTCCTGCCGCACTGCGACGCGTTCTAACGGCTACTGAATGGCCGTTCGGCGTTTCGCACGCCGAACAGCCAAACAGCGACGACGAAGATGACGACAAAGACAACAGGCGGCAATATTTGAAGCAACAAGCACTTGTCCAGGAGCGGCGCGCGGGCTGTCGCTGATATTAAAAATTGTCCAGCATTTGCTTAGAAGCTGTCAAGGTTTTTGTTTTTTGAAATCATAGCGTTTGTTTGACGACGTGTTAGACGCACAATTAAAATGTCTGCCTAAGCAAACAAACTGTTTTATCTCATCGTGGCGCAAACATGCACGAAGTGAAACCACCTGTTAGCGGCAGCAGCAAGTTAACAGTCGACTAACAGCGCTGTTGTACGAAAGCTTTTGTTGTCCACAGCACGCACAGCTTTTTCTGTTGTTAATGTCGAACTAAGGGATCCCGTACTAACTTATGCTTTTGAACATGGATAGCTTTAGTTACTTCGTAAAGTTAGCACCATATATTTTTCAAGTATTCACTCTACGTATTTAGATTCAGATATGAATACTTCAAAATATTGACTATTTAATAACATAAATAATAATCTTGTTAGCTTATAATAACATTTATAAATAAGCACCTAGACTAAATTTGGTATATTTTAAATTTAAAAAACCGATTGTTATCGAATTTATGTGAAAAAGTGCTATCGACATTTGTAGCTAGTAATTCGATGTCACGCTAAGCGCACTTTTAAAATTTGTTCCATATACAACAACAATTTTATTGCCAGACATTGAAAGCAATCGGTCAAGAGAGACTTCCGTTCATGAAAAGAAAAATATAAGAAAGAACCAAGTATTTAAGCAAGAGCCGACAGTACAGACGGTTCTTGAAATACAGATTGTAGAGAGGGGTGTAGCTGCTTTGTTGTTATATGTTTAGCATTGAGAATAAATCGATAATCCTTATACACAGGCTGCTTGTTTGAATAAAAGCGCAATTGAGATCTTAAAAAACACCAACATTTCTAATGGCAATCATATATTGTTGTAGCTTGTTTGGTTCGGTACATATTAGATTCGGAATTCTGCGGATTGCTCAGTAGGAAAGCACAGCGCAGTTTATCAGATGGACGATACTTTTCTTTTAAAATATGAAAATTTAGATAGGACTATTTTAAATAACCCCAGCTATATATATACATATATCTATACTTTGAGGTCAATGTTTTTCAACTTTCGGAGTTTGGTATTTCTGCTTGGCAATTATTAAGTATTCTTGCGGTTGCCGCTTGCGGCCACACTGAAACTCATTCTTTGAATCGAATTCCTCGCCACGCCAAAGTCGGCAATAACGTAAGTGAGAAAATATTATGTTATTTTAATTGCATAAGAGAAACTAATCACATGTTCAAATAGATATAAAAATTATTTTTAAATTTTTGTTTCACTTCGGTACATGTGAGTATTTTCTGCTGACAGTGAAAATTCGCTCACACTGAAACTGCACAATATTATGTAACCTACAAAAGTGAACGACGGGCGCAGTGAAAAATTGCGAATCCCGCAGCAGCTGATTTAATTATAACGAACTTGGCTAATTTTACATTTTCTTGCTGTCTTTGCAGTTCAAATACAATAGTAGACACCACCAAAAAAAAAAACCAAGAAAAAATCCAACAAAATGTTCTCGTCATTCTTTCAAGCCGCCAGGAATTCACCATTTAGATCGCCGTTTACTCCAGTCCGCTGCGATGACGGCCAGTCTGCTGTGGAGAGTGTGCCAGCAGTTGGTGTGGGTGGCCCAGTAGTTGGACGTGAAATCGCAGCTGCAGCAACATCTCAGAACGATTCCTGTGAGTTTGGCAGCGCCAAATATTTTGCTCTGTGCGGTATCGGCGGTATTTTGAGCTGTGGTACCACGCACACCTTTGTGGTCCCGTTGGATTTGGTCAAGTGCCGTCTGCAGGTGGATCCCGCCAAGTATAAGAATCTTATCCATGGCTTCAAGATCACCGTAGCTGAGGAGGGCGTTCGAGGCCTAGCCAAGGGTTGGTTCCCAACTCTGATTGGTTATTCCGCTCAGGTGGGTGCTTGCGTAAGCCCAATAATTCTTCATAAACGTGACCTCGCATTATGTTCTTTCAGGGTCTGTGCAAGTTCGGTTTGTATGAGGTGTTCAAAGTTAAGTATGCCGACATCCTTGGCGAGGAAAAGGCGTATTTGTACCGTACCTATGTGTATCTTGCTGCTTCGGCTTCCGCTGAAGTCTTTGCCGATATTGCGCTGGCGCCATTTGAGGCAGCCAAGGTTAAGATTCAAACTGTTCCCGGATATGCTAACACATTCCGTGAGGCAGTGCCCAAGATGTATAGCGAGGAGGGCATGTCAGCCTTCTACAAGGGTTTGGTGCCATTGTGGATGCGTCAAATTCCGTACACCATGATGAAGTTTGCATGCTTCGAGCGCACCGTGGAGCTGCTCTATAAGTGAGTTAACCAATATTCACTCGTTTGTTTTAATTTCTCACGTGTATGATATTTGTTACTTAACAGATATGTGGTACCCAAGCCACGTACTGAATGCAGCAAGGGCGAGCAATTGATTGTGACCTTTGCCGCTGGTTACATTGCTGGCGTCTTCTGCGCCGTTGTCTCGCATCCCGCTGATGTGGTTGTCTCCAAGCTGAACCAGACCAAGGGTGCTAGCGCTGTAGGCATTGTCAAGTCTCTCGGCTTCATGGGCATGTGGAATGGATTGACGCCTCGTATCATCATGATCGGTACACTCACTGCCCTACAATGGTTCATTTATGATGGTGTCAAGGTTGCTTTGGGCATTCCTCGCCCACCACCACCAGAGATGCCCGCCAGTCTGAAGGCCAAGGAGAAGAGCAAGTAAATGGCTCTCACGAAATTGAAAAAAAAAAAATAAGAACAATGCAAACAAAATGAAAAACATCTAAATTAAGTCTAACGCAAAGTGAAGATCAAGCAAATAGCAAGAAACGGAACGACAACACCCATTAGTAGCATACATGAACTGGCGAAACGAACATACCAAATTTGCTTTTAAATATCTATTGTTTTCGACTTGTGTCAACTAATTTTACCTGTTCTAACGTTACACGCATAGATTTCGGTTCATAGCCATTCCAAGGTAGCTTCTAACTACTTATACATTCTTCAAACTGTTCTAAACAATATACATTCTTAACTAATCTTTTCTTAACTTGATGTATTCCATTCTATTAAAATTAAATTTGTATGTATACGACGATAGCCGTATGTATGCATATAAATGTCTTAGTTTACACTGAAAAGTCTATTTGTATGTTGTTTCTCCAACTTCAATGATAAGTGTCGAATTGTAGGGATGAGAATATAATAAGTAATAGATATGATACGACACTTAAATGCCGCTTAGAAAAATTCCCAAACACTGAATAAACTAAATTATTAAATTGAGACAGTATTCATTTGACTTTGATTTTGGATTGAGGGCTAACTGGTTTATCAGCGGCGCGTTTTGCACTTGTGAATTGCATAAACGAAACGCAGCTACCATATACTATGCTATACCTACACTTTTAATGTCTAAAGTCGATTATAATATTAGATAACCTGTGACCTCAACACAATTGATTCCTCGTTTCGTTTATGGCAATTGCTTTTCGAAAATACAATAAATAGCGATTCCATCCTAAAGATTTTATGTCATCTAAGTTAGTAAGATTTGCTTCCATAATTGTACTGCCAAATATCCACATGTTACAAAAATAAATAAAGGTTAGAAATGTTAATAAAAACCACGTTAATACGTTAGACTACAATAAAGCGCTTAAACTAATTACCTAGATAGTGGGTCTTTGCGATTAACTGTGGCCGTAGTGAGCGTGCTGTGATTTCCGTAATCTATCTACGGAATTCGGTGACTTCTGCATTTTAACTTTTTAACTCAGCAGACTTGTTTTATAATAAATGACTTTTCCATATTCCTATCATATATTAATTTTCGGCCATTGGTTCGCATGACGGATCTTTGCCAAATTTTAATCGAATTTCAAGTTAAATGAACTCTGCTATTCTTACGGAGCCTTTTTAAATTTCGAGCTAGGAACTCCAAATTATTTTCTAGTTTACCAATCTGATTTATGCCATAAATCAAGCTAGTTTTTATTGTGTGTTTATATGACTAAGCTAATGATGAAAAACTTTTGAGGAAGACCAAGCCTCAGAGCATAAATAACTGGAGCCCCAATCATTGCATTCATCCAACCATATTTGGATGATGTCAATTTTGGGGTACAGGTCAACTCTAGCCCACTTTTTGTATATGAAAGTATGTATGGCTAGCAATACTTTCGGTACAACGGGCATTTCGTAAACAAGAAATTGAACGGACAATTTAATTTAGTTATATCGATTTTTCCTATTTGCCATTTTCCAAAGTGGGAGATAGCAAAAAATGGTAGCCAATGGAAAAGTTATATTTAAAGTTGCATTAAATTATACAAAAAAAACAAAGAACGTTTTCACAAAATTATGTATATATATATTTTAAATTTATATTTATGAGCGGTGAGAAAAATAATGTAACATATTGGCTCGTTGTAACATAATTTCACTGCGTACATGTTGGGTTGCAATTGGCATCTGTTAAAAACTAAATAAATCATTAAGTTTTGGATAAGAAAATTAGTTTTCTCGCCGGCTACTGAGAAGCGGGGGGGAAGGCTCTTAAAAATAAATAACCTCTAAGCACTAAAGCTAAATCTTACAAAACTAAACGCATAGGTAATGTATAAATGTATTTTACAGGCAATTTTCTGGTTTATGAATTATCTATATATGTATTCTATGTACAAATCGCTTAAGGCTAAGTTTCAAAGTCGGGTTCAGACGCATACAAACAATTAGAGACATAGAGCTTTTATTTAATGTGATGTTTTCTATTATATGTATATATATATATATTTGTTTTGTATGGTATTATTTTGTATTTCAGGACGTGTTTCTCCATAACAAGCCATTTCAGTCTTAGAGTTTCAAATAACCAAAATAATAATTAACAAAAAAAAGTCCTATAAAATGTTCCATGCAAAACTTAATAACTAAATTTTCATATATTCGTTAGAATTTGATTTACTTCTGTTTCTTTATTTGCATATAAAGACAATTTCGAAACAATGGTTTGCTAGGATAATGCACGCTTTCGTTTGTAGTTTTTGTTATGTTCTTGCAGTTGTTGTTTTTTTTTTTTTTTTTTGTTTTTCGTTTGTTTTTTGCATTTATTTTAGTTTGCGTTGTTTTGTTTTTTAAACTAATATCAGTTATATGGTAGACAATCACACAGGCAGACATAAAATACACAAAATAAAAAATTGATATTGATATCATTGCACAATCAAACATACTACGAAACATTTTAGGGATATGTATATGGGTATAAGGATATGATCTTGAATTTGAAATGAGCTAGTTTTTATAAAACTCAATTTTGCTTAGAGGTAAAAGTAGTTTCTGTTTGATTGTACGTAGAGAAACCCTCAAGTCGATGGCACCTTTTGAATTTGTACCAAAATCTGGTCTAAAAAAAAATTAAAGTCTGTTCGTCTGTTTATTGACGGTATGGTAAAAATTATGAGTTCCCCATCCACACCCCATAATCCATTTCATAATTTTTGCATTGCTCAGAGCCAATTCTAGGATGGGTTGCTGTTTGATTCAGATGGAAATCAATTCCACTTGGTAGTGTACACGCGGAAGGATCTGAATCGATCCCAATATCCGATTGTCCAGCCACAGATCTGTTTAGCTATACAGTTAGCTTGACCTTCTTCAATTCTATATTCATATAACATATATTCTACCAATATGGTGTATTGGACTCTTGAGTCCCGTTAGTCTGCTGTTGGACTTTGGCAAGTGCATCGGTTAAGGTGGATCGCATTTGCTGGCTGGAGTTACGGGTTTGACCCTTATCATAGGGCGACAGGGCGTTGTAGTAGAAGGGAGAACGTTTGCTGATGGTATAGTTTTTGCCCTGCAAAGAGAATTCAAGTTATAATTTGAATAATCAGGTTTCAATTGCGGCAACTCACATCATTATTGTCCCAGAATTCGTTTTCATTTGTACGATAGCATATGCAGAACTCCAAACGCTTGGAAGATGGGGGCAGCGTGATCTTAAATGAGAATGTATCGAAGACAACGTGTGCACAGGTGGCAGGACCATAGGCCCTGGCAAATGTACAAAATATGTCCTGTTGGCTTTTCCAATCGTCCCAGGTGACGCGCACAATGACTTCCTTTTGAAAATCAATATTCCGAACCTTGATGGTGCCAACGACAATCGATTCCTCATCCTTGACAATGACATTCTCCAGTGAGACAAAGTCACTTTCAATCTTTTGCCTGTTCACAGATATTTGGATTAATTTTGTGTTTTTTAATTGCAAATAGTTTGTAACCTACCTAAATGTCAAATAATCGGATGCTGGCTGCTTAAAGTCCACAGTCCACTGATCTGGCGGATGCGGACTGACCAGTCCTTGTGTAATTTGTTCCAAGAACTTCATGCTCCAGTAGGGTGGCACATTCGAGGGCTCCGACATGACGCGCACCTCTGTCAGCGATAAACCCTCATCATCTGCAAAGATCACATGCTTTTTGCGCAAACGACTGCAAAAGAGATCGAGAGAGAAAAATAAGAGAATGAGTATAGATGAATTGTTCTTAAATGTTGCACTAATTGAAAGGTGGCGCAACAAATAGACTGCATTTTGGCCTTGAACCTGGCCTTATCAGTTCTCGTGTCTTGGACCCCCTGTCTTTATGCAATTGTCACAAAGTCAAGTATCATTTAGGATTTTTATATGCTAGCTTTAAGTTTATGGTTTTGTTATTTGTATTTCATTTATGAAACTGCGCCATTGCATTTTTATATGTTTTATTTTTAGCAAATCGATGTTGAAATTTGACAAAAATAAATTGAATAGAAAAAGTCAATTGAGGAATTTTGGTTACATTTTGATCCGCCCTGGCAGGCAACGACACTAATCGGAAGCTGTCGCCACCCATTGCCAGTAAATTGGCATTTAAACATTTGTTTCTTTCCCCATTTAAACCAAAAGTCATTTAAGTTTATACCAACTGACAGCCTTGTGTACATAACTATTAACAATTTTTGCGTTCTTCGCGAGGATATAGATATAGAGACATTTTTTGCACATATAGAAATATTTTGGATTTTTGCGTCACATTCATTTTTGGGGGCGCATATACCCCAACAGAGTGGGAGCAAAATGTTTGTATCTTTTTTGTGCTATTTCGGTATCCACGTACCATTTTCATTTCAGGCCAAAATATAATATATGCCCGATGATTTGTGGCCGGGGGGACACAGAGAGAGGTAGAGTGAGAGAGAGAGAGAGAGACTCTTGAACGTGTCTACTTTCTAGTATGTATTTGCTTGATTTATTTATTTTCTTTCACTCGAAAGATTTTTAACGATTTTCGAATGTAAATAAAACACGCCCTTTTCAAAAAGCCTTAAAGTCTTATAGTAAATATCAATATATATCCAACAACATTTCAGGAATGTAGACTAGATGTAGAGTTATACAACTGTTCTATATATAAATATCAATAGAGACTCATATGGAAAAAAATGCATGTCTATCGAAATGATAAGATTAAAGTTTATCAAGCAATTTGTTAGGGGCTTGTTTTATTTTCTTGGTTCACAATAAAAAGGTAGGAAAAAGAAATAATAATATAGCAGTTGATTCAAGTCAGCTATATGTGGCGACAGGCCCCATAGAATTAAAAGAAATTGGCTGACGTGAGGAAACACATTTCATATAATATGGCGAGAAACAATTATTTTCTCAATATTTTATAATTTAATGAATAGCAAACACAGAGAGCAATTGAGTTATATGGGAAGAATATGTTTTGACTGTGTGTGTGTGTACTTTCTACTATAAAAGTGGCCAACAATTGTGGCTATTTGCTAAGTTGGCTCAGTTTATTAGCCCGACGCCAATATCAAACAGCCGGCTGACTGGCTGACTGGCTGGCTGGTTGCCGATGATCACGCGTTGAAGGCGTGTGCAATCGACGCTGCATTTTCTTTAACAGGTTTCTACGTTTTTTTTGTTTTTTTTTTTTTTTTCATACGACAATCTGGCGATCGTCCGATCGTGTGTGCGGCCCAGATCAGGTCTCGTTTTGTACGCGTTTTCCTGCGCTCGAATGTTGCTTGTGTCAACTGTTGAATTTGTGGCTATGAGGCTGTCGCAGATCAAATTTACATAGTTTTTCAGTTTTCCATGCATTTGGCGGCTTGTTCCAGCATTCGGGCCTTTATAGGCCAGGAAGTGTCGAAACAAGTTTCATGTTTTCTGTTTCTTTTTCTTAATTTCTTGACTGCACTCATTTAAATATATGCACATATGTATGTGCATTAACCGAAAACAAATATATATGGCATATGGCGTATGGGTCCGGTTTAAAGGCAGGCACACAAAATTAACAGGCCCATAATTTACACGTGTATATTTAATATGCAGTGCACATAATTGTGTGAAAGAAACAAGTTTCGAAAAGGGATTACAAAAGCACTTTAACGCACGAATTGATTGGCTACATATGTTTATTTATGGCTGTAATCTTTATAGACTTTTATTTCCTATCGTAAGACTAGAGTCAACAATCCTTAGGTCTAGTACCTATATGTTCTCATGCGCCTTGACCTTGTCAAAGTTTTTTGAATGACGGCCAGTTTGGCAACCTTTACAGACAGCCTTGTGCGTGTCTTTAATTGTCTTTAATCTCTTAATTTTGACAAGGTGGTTCCGTCTTTATAGTCTCCGTTCGCAAATAACACAAAGTTTGCAAAGCACACAGACACAATATTAGACCCCAATATTGTGCGTGGGCCACATTTGCCGACATTAGTCCAACTCACATGCTCACAACTCATATGTGTGTGCCCCAGTATTACAATATAAATATAAAATAAAAAGTGTACAGATTTCGGTTTTGAGTGCGACAACATTAAGAAATCTTTACAGCTTCCAAGCACATCTCTACACGTGATGGGCGCATGCACAATCTGTCTATAAATATTCACCGAATATGTAGCTTTTACATGCATATGTAATTTATATATTATGTATGTGTATTTATTTATACATCGGGTTGACTTGGCTTTGCATTTTTTAATATATATATAATTTTTTCATATATATAACCGACAAAAAACGACACAGCACAATTATCACATGCTAAGTTTGAAAATTCTGGCGTCTATTTAGTGGCCTTGGCGTGACCTGGTACGCTGTCTGGGATCTTGTCGGCTTGTGGGTAATTATTAAGAGTTTGACATGCTTTGGTGACATACATATACTACAAGGCAGGAAGTCAGATTGTGATTGACAAATGACAGCTTAATTGCTGACAAAAATTAACGGAAAATGAGAAGAATTCTCAAAAATGTACTTTTTAGCAATTGTTAATACTAGAATTTACACTCTCTGAAAGTCAAGGTTTGCAAATCCCGAAGTATTTAATATTCTTACAGCTCTGGATAGTTATTCTGTAAGTTTGAAGTTATTTCGTTAACAAACAGTTGAGTTACTTGAGATGGGAGACAGGTACAGCGTGCTATAAGTAAACAATTAAGTTTTTCTCTAAATATCTAACCAATACTTATATTTCTCTTAAGAAAATTCAGTAGTAAGATATGTAGATCGAATGGAAATTGAATTCGTGACCCGTGATCACATTTAAAAGGGTCTCAAAAAGGGTACACACAATGGTGTAGTTGTACAAATTCCGAAGCCTTATCTTGCCAAAGAGCTGAGTTGACCTAGACACGTCAGAAATCGTAGAAGTTAGAGTATTATCTCGAGAATTATACGATTTAACAAATTTATAATGTAGATATATGTAAACATCATTTTGACAGGGTATTGCCTCGTCGTGCAGTTGTAAACAGAAATAATGCAATACGCAACCGCAGGCACACTCACACACACACACACACACACATGCACATCGTCTTACGAAATAGTGTGTGTCTGGTTTACATTGAAAATAGCTATGGGTGTGTGCGTGTGTGTGTTTTAAACGTATATCGCAATCGCTTTTAGGCGATATCAGATGGTGGATAGCCTCGTCTAGACATTGCTTAACCAAAAATAGTGTATTTATAATGTGCACTCGCACAGATCTCTGCTGTCTTGTCTGGCTGCACTTTCCATTTTATATTCTAAGGCATTTTTTAAAATGCCAAATTCAAGTGCAGCGAACAAAGGAATCAAGCAAACAAATCTGGTGAGCAGCTCGAGCTTATGCAAATACTTATTTCGTAGATAAGATAAACAAATTATAAAAACATTTTAAGAATATAAGGCACATATAGCTTATGTAGCGTGGCGATGGAGAAATGGTCAGATTCTTAAACTGGCTCTTTCAATATATAAAAAAAAAAAATGTATACACATATATAAATTTATTATACGTATTTGTTTTTGTTTGGCTCATGCAATTTTATATACACGCTATACTATTTTTTACGTCTACCCCCGTGACATGTGTTCGCTATGACGTCTAGAAAAACTTAACGACTGCCAAAGGAAATGTTTCGATTTGGATGTGTAGCTGTTTTTTTTTTTTGATATCTGGCCAAATTTGGTTCAAATGCACCGAAAATGGGAAGTTTCTGAAGTTGATTTTCTTAAATTTTATCAATCGTTTTAGATACATTCGCTTTCTATTTAACCTATTGGATTTCACTTTTAATCAATCCCACACCTCAGACCCACTCAACCACACCATATTTAGTTCAATTTGTGGCTGTGGTCACCAAATGACGGCGGCGCCAGTGCCACCTCTGACTGACGTCAAATTGATAGCGGTTTGTTGCGAACCACTCGGATTACACTTATGCAAGTACCCCACCCCCGCCAGCTTACCTTTGCTCGCAGGTAGCAAATCCGTTTGAATCGCTGCTGCTGTTGTTGCTGCTGTCTGTCACATCGTCATGCTCCGTGGGTGCAGCATCCGTGGAGGCGATGCTGAAGCTTTGGTTGCTCTTGTGCAGGCAGGATTTGCGGCTGAGGCACGATTTGGGCTGTGTTTGCAGCAGCGGGGCAGAGACCATGCGCTCCAAATAGCTGCGGCCGGAGCGACTGCCAACGCCAAGGGGCGTGCCACCAGTCTTGGCGGGCAGATGCTGACCCTGGGCAGCATTGGATGCGTTGTTGACCATCGCTTTGGAGGCCAGAGTTACCGCTTGAGGACGGCAATAACGCGAGGCTATGGTATTGGGTTCGTCATTGTAGCTGTAAGCAGGCCAAAGATTGAGAATCTCTCATCAGTATGTACGCGCATATAATAGATTTCTTCTTCTACATAATATATAGTATATATATTGTATATAGTATGTGCCACATTTTGGTATGGCTCTTAAATAATCTGCGCATTATGAAAGCAATCGTACGAGGGGCCATGCGGCGCTCACGTTTACTTTCTTTTTATCAGCCTGATAAGGTTGTCATTATTCTGGGTCTGTCTTTTATTTCTGTGAGATAATACGCGGCATGTACTCGGCATGGCATTGTTCGGCTGCCGTATTATGTGCAGGGCGCTATACTATCTATAAAGAAATAGCGCCAGGCTTCTGGCATTGATAAGCGCAGAACTTGTTGAATCTATTACGCACGACCTCTGCACTTGATTTGAATAGTACGCCATGGGATGGGTATTTGTATTTATGTATTCACAATTTTTTGGGTCTCTCTCACAATTGTGATTCATCATGGCGTACTATTTTTGGAAAGACCATGAGACAGAGACAGAGAACAACTGTTTGCAATTTTTCTATTTTGCTGATTCATATCAAAAATTGTTGTTTTTGGCTAGACACAGGCACAGGAAAACTATAAAGTCAATGTCTGATAAGCCCACTTTTTTCCCCCATCATTTATTGGGCTAACGCAAAAACTATAGGGGAAATCTATTTGCCTAGCTCTTTAAAGAGTCCCAAGTTATTTAGTGCTTAAGAATGACAAGTTCAAGAACCAAAACAACGAAAAAGTTCCAAAATGTCAAGTAACCAAATTTGTTGTTAATATTAAACGTGTGGATAGTATTTAAATCACGTGAATTTAGCGTTTTTTATAGCTGGCCAAATATTTTAGTATAATTTCTATTTTTATTTATACCTATGCTTATTTGAAGTAATAATTTTGAAATTTTTGTTTTGCTAAGTCTATAATAAAGAAATGTATTTTTAGTTTCAACTTGTTGTGTTATACATATTCCAATGTTTTTTGATTAATGCACTAAAGCTGCAAATAAACCTCACACACGATGATCCGGGCATGATTTATATCAATTGCGTCAACAGACCTCGAGCAGACACCGAGACCCACAACGTACCTTATTAATATTGCCCCCAAACCGAAAAATTTGCTTCATTTTTCAAGCGCCACGCGCAAATTTGTCGCCGTCAGCGTCATTTGCCGTACTCGCGCTCGTGTCCGGCAAAAGAGACCCCCGTCCGGGTAGCCGCTCTCAAAGACTTTGCAAAAGTTTGTTTTGATTATTCGAACGCCTTGATCTTGAATGCCTTCAAATTCTGTTGTCAACCAGAGCCATTTAGACATATTTTTAGTGTGTGCCTTATTGTTGTGCACATGTGCAAATGTGTGTGCATATCAACATACTGCTATAAGCATCGTAGCCCTTAACCCCTTTAAATCTGCCGCAATAATAAAACTTATATCAATATTTATCCCACTAACAGTCAGAGAGTGACAGGCAAACATGGATATTTACAATAAACATATAATGGAATTGCCTTCTGCTTTGCTTGTATAATATTTTTTCGAATTAACCTACATATGGAGTGTGTTTCGTAATGTCTTAAGTTTATGACTTGAAATTGTGAGAATCGAAAATAAATAGCACTGATATTGTTTTCTTAAGTTCCGACTTGTAAGCTATAAAATATGTATTTCAATAATAAATGTCTCGAATACAACTAACCAAGATATTGGCTGTTATTTCATTGTCTTTTGTTTTAACAGTCGTTATCGATGTCATAATTGATATCAGACTTTTACCTATTCATTATATAACATGATTTATAAACAATTATTCACGATAAGTGCAATAATATAATTAATCAGCACTTCTTTAGCGAGCATTATAAAAAGAACTTGTTTTGTTTTAGGAGTATATCAGAAAATACGTTTAGCTATCGAATGATAAGAGAAATTCCAGAATTTCTTCTATTTTTTCGATAAGCATGCTTAAGACGTGACTTAAGCTTGAAGTTGGAGAAAGTATTCAAAGTATTCAAAGGAATTAATTTGAGTTTAAGCTAGTCTCTTCACGAAAAATAAAGTCAATAAATAAAGGAATAATAAAATATATAATTAAAAACAATTGAATTTTGATTCGTTGCCGAAAGTCGCATATTCAATTAAATTCAATTGGTATTGAGTAGATTCACTGCCCCCAATTTGGGCTTGTAGTATTCAAAAATGATTTTCAAACTTACTTTAATGTTTGACGCTGATGTCCGCTCATGTAGTCCGCTAGGAAACTAACGGGTGGACTGTGACTGAATATGGGTGGACTGTGTGAAATCATTTTATAGGCTGTCGTTTCTCTATAGATCTCTAACAAGGAACTACGATTGATGTTGCTGTTGTAATTAGCAGCAGCAGGGCCTGTAAAATTGGAAGAAGAAAACAATATTGATAAAGTGAGCAAAATGGTTTGAACTTAAGCGAAGCGTAAATTATTTTAATTGGAATTAACTATAAACAAAATGCTTGAGTGCAAATGTTTATAAAATGATTCGAATTATTGATTGTAATGGAAAATTATTATAAAAAACAATATTTATACATATGCATATACATTTTGTTTACGTTTATTTTTGAGTTGAATATTAGCTTTTGCTAAGAAACTTACCGTTTGTGGGTAAATGACTTTGTTGTGTTTCTCGTCTTAGCTCTTTCTCTCTTTCTTGCTCGCCTTATTCTCTTCGTTTCTATCTTTGAATCTCTGTGTATTAAGGAACTTTACTGGTATCACTTTATTTATTTATATTTTGCCCAACTTTCTTAGAGATTTTCTTTCATATGTGCATCACGCGCGATGTTCGTGGGGCTTGGCAACGCGCGTCAGACAATGAAATTTGTTGTGTAAAAATTAATATTTAAATTTTAAGCACAAGCACACACAATTTTTTTTTTGGCAGCACCGCACAAAACAAAACGACGAGCAGCAAAACGAATTAACAATAATTTAATATTATTGATTTATATTCCTTTTTCTTTTACAAATAAAAATTCGCGCGTTTTTTTTTTTCTTTTCTTCTTTTGTGGTTATATATGATTTGATGTTATTTTTAGTATTTTGCTTTAACGACACGAATAATTAGGACCGCATCGCGTTTTGTTGTTGCCTGTTGCAATCCGGCTGTGAGTACCGTTCGCCTCGACGACTCAGAGACGAATAAACTGTCGCTGCTACAGCAACTCGCCGTCAAGACTGCCAACCGCTAACCCAACCAACCACTCAGGCCACCATCAGCCGCAGTCCGCACGAACCCAGAGAGCGGCGTTACAGTACGATCGTCGTTTGGTCTGGAAGGCGCTCGCACTCTCTCTCTCTCTCGCTCTCTCTCACATCCACTCTCTGCCCCGCACTCCCTGTACGCTGAGTGCGGCTGCATTTTAATGATAGTGCAGCGATAGTTGTTGTTGGCATTCAGTTTAGTTAAGTTCGTCTGGTTTAGTTGCGATTTTCGTTAGGTTTAGATGGCGCCTCAGAGCCAAAGTCACTTAATGTGTCAGGCTGGATGGACATGATCAGCGTACGATCGTTAGCGCGTGCGCTCATTTTGGGAATTCGTTTTATTAATAAATGCGAATAGTCGTACAAGTAGTATTCGCACATATATTTTATGTTTTGCCAAACAACTTTCTATGCGATCATCTTCTATGTCTACGACTCGAACCAGCTGATTTTGTATGCTATTTATTTATTGCATCCTTTTTATTTGCTTTAATCTTGCATCCTTAGCCATGCCCATAGAAAAAAACTCACCGAACGAGTACCCACTCATTCGTTTGAGTGTCTACAACAACTTGCTGACGTTGTATGGTTCGAGTCGTTCGAGTGGTTTTTCTCTATAAGGTGTGGGGCTTATACTTCCAAAGCTGCAATCGGTAACCCAAACACCTTTACAACCTACGCGTTTCTTTATGCAATTTATGTTTGTCATACGTTGTCTTTGCCGAGTCGACAGCTCTAAATCAATTATGCTTTTGGGGGGAATTGTGTAAAAGTTGTCGCTGTGTAATCTCGTTTTTTTCATCGACTTTCTCATGCGCTACGTTTAAATTCAGCTAGCATATCGATTGCGCTAAAGGCATGACAAGTGCTGAATTATAAAGAAATTAAATCACAATTTTTATATTTAAAATGCTGTGCACTATAATCGATTATCTGATCCGAGTGGGATTTAGGAGTAAAAAACAAATCTATAATGTATTCCCCTTAAGTATAATAATAATAATATAACATTTCTATTAGCTGTTAAATTTATCCAATGAACCCATTAAAATACCACATAAAGTGACTTACGAGCGTTTTCATTTGTATTACCCACATCATCAGATAGATGACGACGACAACTCTGGGAAATTGTCGACATTCTCCGCCACGCATCGTATGGGACTGAGTGTTTTTCTTGTCTGGTGCATAGAAAGTGTGTGTGTGTGTGTGTGTGTGTGTGTGACAGTGTGTGTATTTGTGTGTGGCGTGCGTGACTCGTTGACATTCAGAAATGGCGGCGTAGGTCTTAGTCGGGCCTTAGGTAGACAAGAAATGCTCTCACAATGCGTGATCTGTCAAGTCTCTTATGATAATGCATTTTCGGATGAAGGGCCCAACAAGTTTGTTCAAGTGTTTCGATTGATCTGTAACCACTGTGCCACTTTCATTGGGTGGCACTTGGGTAGAGGAAACACGAGCACGCAACACACACGCTACTCCAAGTCCAAGTAACTTATTTGCTTTTGGGGCTCACAGCATCTCTCAGGCCGGTTTCAGAGTGCGCTGCGCAGATGTGCCGGCCGGCCGGCTGGTCGGCACTTGTTCACCTAGTCGCTGCTCCTTCCTGACCACCACCCGATTGCCTTGGCTAAGAGCCGGTTTAATGCTGCTTCGTTTCTGGAGTAGCTTGTCGCGCTTTTGCCGGCCACTCCAACAGCATTTGCCTATATATACTATACTCGATATGCACATAGACTCGACTAGCCCCCTACTCAGGGTGATCTTCCTTTCTCTCTCTCTCTCTCTCTCTCTCTGCACCTTGATGCTATCTTGGTGCAGTGCCCTTTGAAGCGTTGGCCATGTGCAGCAGTCACAATCCTCAGATATGATTATGAAGCGCACTTGAAATACTGCAAATATTTTACTAAAATTTTTATATTTATATCTTTTAGCCAGCTGTCTGTCTATTTCTGTTATAATTTTCATGTGTGAGCCGAGCAGCGGATGTGGCTGGGTGGAATGCAAGACAGATAAAGTATATTATCCAAAAACTAGTTTGAAGTCTCGTCAAGATACTATAGCTTTCTATCAAAGTATATTGTAATCTGAACTTATGCCAGTTGGTATATTGATCTTTGGCCGAGTGATATGTCTATGAATGAATTTTGAAGCAGTTGTGAACCATGCAATGTTTCGCAGAACTCAAACACTCACACATGGAAAATGTACGAAATTGATATTTTATTAATATTACAAAAATTGTATCATTCGCTGAGTGCGTGAATTGCATCTAATAACCGATGTTAACACACACTTCTTCTAGGGAACAAAATCGCCACGTTTTGCCCTCGACTTTGTCATGCCTGGAAGCCAAGCCACTGCCAAATGCAGTGTACAAAAATAAACGCGCAACGTCGTCTGGGACAGGGTCTGGACCCGACAACTGGGTGGCAGCTAGTCAGCTGCTTTGGGCAATAGCAACAACAAGCTGATGAAATCAGTCGAGCTGCCAATATCAGCAACATCAGCGGCGCCAAAAGTGAAAAGATTATCAGTGATTATGTACTCTATTTAGAAATAGCAAAAAAATGGGCGTATCTACGACTTGTAGCTGTTTAGCTAGAAAATACTTAGCATATGCCTAGCATGTATTATATAGTATTTGTAGTAGACATAAGTAAACCCGCCCGAAGGTTTAAATTTAGAAACGAGGCGTGCGACTTGGTTCTTATCAATGCAGGCGCGATCAAGATGCTCAGACTGGGACAGGGGTCGCTGTTTGGGGCGGGGGCAAGGGCAGCTGATAAACTGCGCAGCATAAACTAAACACAAAATTTCATAAATATAGCTGGGTTTATTTTTGGCGAACGAAAATCATGCCGTTACTGACCTAGAGCACCTGATCGCGGCGTGATCAATTATTTGGCAACAGATCTCGCATAAAAGAGAAGAAAACTCTTGCAAATTCGTTTCATTGCAAAAGGGAAATGGAATAAATTACAACTAACTGCAATACATGCATACATACATATACATATGTATATGCAATCAAAAAGCCCCATATTCGAAATTGTATAACCTTATAATCATTTGAAAAATCGTTTGAAAAACTGTTATCGTTGGGTGAGGGTCAATGGAATAGGCGCTTAGAAAATGCAACCGATGATCGATTAATATATGTTGTTTTGCATCGCGTAATTTTGCCGCGTAATTTTCCATTGTAGCTCCCGCTTGAAACTTAATTATGCGATTTATTATGCAAATATAGAAATGTACGACGCGACTCTACGTCTATTTAAAGACCCAGGCCTTGTTTGTGGTTCGCCTGAAGCCGCACGAACACGAGCTGATCACGTTTTTCACTTGTGCTCGAAACCCTCGATAGAGACAGGCAGATAGAGAGAGAGGGGGAGCTTAGTTTGAAAATGTGAAAAACTGTTTCATTGACATCAGCGACGCGACGCGACGTCTGCCTGCAATTATGATAGGGCCTATTGTGGCCACTGATAAGCGGCCAACTCCTTCCAGAACTCTATAACGAGCCGAGACCTCAAAAAAAAAAAAAATACGAAACAAAACAAAACAAAAATCCGAAAACTCATGTTAATCAACGAGCGCATAGTTCGGCCCCTTATCAATAGACACAAACTATTAGGATTTGCTTTTGTTGTTGTTGGTATTAGCCTCTAATTATAGTCTGAAACGAACCAGACGAGACTGGCCACATATGTTTGCCTATATGTCTGTAATATATTTGCTTAGCTGTTGATAGTGGCGAGTCGCAAATTGAGTTTTGGGCATTTGTTTGCTTTGACATTATATTCGAGCGGCAAACAGGTTGCCGGATATTCACATAGTATTATTTTTAGTTGTCACCCGGCAACAATATTTGTTCATACTTTTTTTTTCTATCCGAAATCAGTTTTGAACATCTGTTGTGGGCATTTAAATAGGGTTTTTTAATGGCACCCACAACTGCACAAAAGGTCTAAATTGAAAACTTGCTGCCAATAAATTGTGTACTATAAGTACTTTACCTGCATGCAAGCTAACAATTATTTTATTTCACTGAAACGAATCTCCAAAAATGTGACTAAAATTACTGATTTTTGACCCATATCGAGGGGGGATCTCAAGATTCTTAATCAGTATCCGATTAGTACCTTAAATTATTTCAAATACTGTGCGAAATGTAGACATATTAATTACTCAGCATTTGTAGGGATAGCTTAACCGTTTTTCGCTATTTTTCAACCGGCTTAAGCCGGTTTACTGTGTGCATCCACCACATTAGGTAACTTAGTGATAATTTCAGCATCCTAGTTATATTTTATCTAGAGTTCATGCCTATATATTATGCTAAAATACACGCTGTAAATTTTACCAGCAAGTTTATTGGACGAATACATAAAACATAAAATATATGTATTCGTATTTATATAAATGTACGAATATGAGTTTCAATTGCGTGCTCACCTGTAAATTCACACGCAACTTTATTTTATCGTCATCAGTCAGTAGGCGGAAGACGAACCTTTATGTAATCACATGACTGAAAGAGCAGAAAAGAGATAATGTTTATTATGAGTAGTAAAACGCAGCGTGATTGCTAATCCATACTTGAATTAGAGAGAATCGTGTAGTAGAGTAATATTTATACATACGTTTTTGTTCAATTTAAGCCCAGCTCAACATACATA